ACAGTGGTGGTCACTTCAGAAACTAGGAAGTTCTGGAATATGTTGCATTTATACTTGTTTGATGCCATAACTTTTTTTTCTTTTTACACAAAGAAATCTTCTAGAGCACCCTTTACCTGAAATAACCTATCAATCTTGCTGTTTTATTACACACTAAACATTTTTGTTCCCCCACAATGCTCTAAGATGTCTAATTGCTTCTTGTCAGACAGATCAATACATTATATATATATATATATATATATATATATATATATGAAATATATATAATTAATGTGATGTACACATATATATCATCAGGTGTCTAAAATTATGCAACTTTTTGACTGTAAATACTGTAAGACAGCTTGGGAATTTTGAATAATCTTTAATTCATCCTGTTTCCTTTTAAACTTGTGGTAGAGAAACCACAACTTCCCTGAATTGATGTTAATTTCCGCAGTTATCTTAGAAAATGAGCCATCCACAATTTTCTTCTTCTAAATTAATAGGACCATGTAAAAGTGAATAGTTTTTGAAATTGTTGCAAGATACTATTTTTGAGCCTTTACATTTTGGTAAAAATTAGCTTGCACTTCAAAGTCCATGCTAATGATTTCTCTATAGACATATTGTGCTATTCAGACCACAGTATTCTCAGCCAAAATATGCACATCCCAGCAGACATCAGCTCCAGGCTGTGGTTCATCTCTCTCCAACCTTTTTCATAGACAACTAAGTTCTATCATTTTCACAGTTTGTTGGTGCTTTTGTTGCTCTCAGAATTACTCCTCTGCACTCTCTAATGTTGCTGACAGGAAGAGCCTGGTTTCTCATGTGTGAGCTAGAGAAGTGTCTTCAGAGAAGGTGTGTTGACTGTGGGCTCCATGTTAACAGATCATAAACTTGGGCCAGGTTTCAAAAGAAAAATAGAATCTTTTCTTCTGAGGCTGAGGCTTCTCCAGAAATTCACGCATTGACACCAATAGTGTGTGACGAAGCTTTGGAGACCCCATTGACTACATTCTTAGAATCCTGGCAGCAGAACACATAACAGTAAAATGAATAACTCCATGCTATGTTGAACCCAGAGGTTCCACTGTCATAATTTCCAGGGTCAGTGTGAGGATCAGCTTAAATGGTTGCTCCTAAACTGGATGAACAAGGTAAAGTTTTTAATGAGTTTTTTTTTTGGACATAAAATATATCAAAACCAATACATCTAATTTAATAACAAGGATTTTACTTTTGAACAAGAATATCCAGAGAGCCTACCAATATTAATTAAAAGACTTCATATATCCACATTAAGGTAAATAAATCATTGAACAAATAGGCACAAGCACAGTTTTCCATCTGGAGTAGAAAATAAGTAAGAGCTGTTTATAGAGATGCCATTGAAATTCTCTTCTCTTCACTATGTCCTCTGATTTGCTCTAGATAATTTTAAAGAAAAGGAAATACCTAGATCACACACACACACACACACACACACACACACACACACACACACACACATATATATATATATATATAAAATCTAACATCAGAATAACTGTTATTGCAGCATGAGACCTGAAAGGGTAGGCAGGACTGATATGTCTTTCCCCTAATTCTGAATGATGATGGGATAATGTCACCTTAGAGTAAAGTAACAACTAAACCAATGTAAAAAGAGATTTTACAAATCATGTATAGGATTATCTGCAAGTAAATTTCCCGAAACTGAGAAGGTCTTTAAAGCAAAGGACACAGTCAATAAGACAATAAGGCAGCCCACTGAAAGGGCAAAGATCTTCACAAACCCCTCTTCAGACAAAGGAGTGATCTTCATAGTATATAAAGAACTCAAGAAATTAAACATAAAAATTTGAAATAACTGAATTAAAAATTGTTTACTGAACTAAACAAAGAATTCTCAACAGAAGAATTTCAAATGGCCAACAGATACTTAAAGGAATGTTCAACATCCTTAGCTATCAGGGAAATGCAAATCAAAACAATTCTGTGATACCATCTTAAACCTGTCAGAATGGCTAAATTCAAAAACACTAATGATAGCTTATACTGGGGAGGATTTGGAATAGGCGAACATTCATCCATTGTTGGTGGGACAGCAAACTTGTACAACAACTTGGGAAAACAGTATGGTGGTTTCTCAGAAAACTGGGAATCATCTTACCTCAGGATCCAGTAATACCACTCTTGGGCATATACCCAAAAGATGATCAGTTATATTATAAAAGCATTTGCCTGATCATGTTCATAGCAGCATTATTTGTAACAGCCAGAACCTGGAAACAACGCAAATGCCCCTAAGCTGAAGAATGGATAAAGAAAATATGGCATGTTTACACATTAGAATACTACTCAGTGGTAAAAATCAATGGCATTTTGAATTTTTCGTGCAAATGGATGGAATTAGAAAATAATATACTGAGTGAGGTAACGTAGATTCAAAAAGATGAATATGGTATGTACTCACTCATAAGTGAATACTGTCTATAAACAAAGGGCATTCAGTTTTGAGAGGCTATGTAATGAGGTGAGCACAAACGTGAGCACCTGGAAATTGGAAATGAGCAAGATTGACTGTCAGGGTTGGGAGAATGGGGTGGGGTAGAGGAGAGGGTAGGAAGAGAAGAGAAAGGGAGAGGCAGAGGGTAGAGGAGAACTTGCAGGAATGGTATGGTCAAGATGGAGGAAAAACAAAGATGAGAGCAAGGAAAGAGATATCTTAATGGAGGGAGCCACAATAGGGTTAGCAGAAGCCTGAATCTAGAGAAATTCAAAGGAATAAAAAAATGACCTCCCAGGTCCCTAAGAAATAGAGGAGAGAGGGTTCAAACTTGACTTGCCCTGTATTCAGACTGATGATTATCTTAAATATCTCCATAGAGCATTCATCCAGCAACTGGATGCAGAGGCAGAGACCCACATTGGAGCACTGGATTGAACTCCCAAGTCCAGTTGAAGAGTGAAAGGAATGAGAATATGAGCAAGGAGGTCAAGACCACGAAAGGTTCAAACACTGCAACAGTTTACTTGAGTTAATGGGAGTTCACCAACTCCAATCTAACAGGGAAGGAACAAGAATAGGACAAAATCAGTTCCTCTGAATGGGGTTGACATTTGCAAGGCTAGGGAAGATTGAGGATCCACTGGCATGTCACCAGGATTTGTCCCTACTGCGTGTATTGGCATTTTGATATCCTATTTTTTTGATGAATACCTTGCTCAGCCTAAATATGGTAGGGAGGGCCTTGGACCTTTCACAAGGCAATCCTCTGTGAGGATTAAATGGGGGTAGGGTGGGAGGGTCTGTGGAGGTAATACGAGCAGGAGAGGGAGTAGGAATTTGTATTGGTAGTTTTTTAAAAAAAATCTAATGAATTAAAAATAAACCTAAATAAGTAAAGGACTCCACCAATTCTTAATTGGATGGGAAGATGGTCCCAGATAAAGTTGCCTACCAAGTTATTTAATATTTACCAGTGTTCCTTAAGTATTTGCTTTCTGAATTTATTGTTTTGAGCTTCAGTTATATAGTTTATATTATTTTCCTTTATACTTTAGGATCTCTCCATATGATATTATTTCATCCAGCTCCTCCCAAATCTCCCAAGCATGGGGCTCTACCAACCTTATACTTATTTAAGCACAGTTAGTGCTGCCCATATGTGCATGTGTGTGAACCCATGGACTGCAATATTGGAAGTATACCAGTGACCATACCCTCAAAAAAGAGGAACTATATCCCTTGTCCAGAAAATAAATTTCCATCTTCTCTTCAGTAGGATGTAGGGCCAAGGAATTATCAGCTCTTTCTATACCAGGTGTTTGGCTGGCTTGGCCCTAATTAGGATTATACAGACAACAGCAACCATTATGAGTCCATGATTGTAATGTTCATGGCATGTCCAGAAGATGGCATTTAATAGTACCCCTCCCTGTGTTACACTCCTTACACTCTTCTCAACTCCCCTTCATCAGTGTTCTCTGAGCTTGGAGGAACTTCAATGATTTTAAAAATCTTATATCACACAACACATTGAAGATTGGGAAGGACATTTTATGCCTTATAGAAAATCCAGAATGTGTATTTGAGACTCTGTCTACGTGGTTTTCTGACTTCTATTTTGTAGGCTCAGAACTAGAATGAAAGTCAAGACAGGAAAAGACATTTTAAGTGAGGGGCAAGAGGGGAATTACACAGGGTAATACAGAGGTTTTGAAATGAAATGTTGGGTGTAATGAGAGAAAGGTGATGAGTGAATAGAAAGTATGAGAATTTGGGAAAATAGAAACAGACTCTTCTGACAATGTCAAACTGATGCCAAAGTTCTGTGTTTTGTTATAAAAATTTATTAAGTGCCCCCATTATGCTGCTATAAATATGCATAAACAAAAACTGGCATAAGACAACATGAAGACAGCCACGTGTTGCCTGGTATCAAGTTAGGAAAAAGAAAGGCACAGTGGGAAGTAGAAAGTGATCATTGTGAAAATTTCAGGATGCAAAAGATTAATTGCTGCAAATATAAATATCTCTCCATGGCAATCACTGATAGGAAGACAGACAACCACAAGGAACGTCTCACTTGCAAAACGTCCTGGGGTCACAGGACAGCATTTCTCAGAACTGAGGAAAAATCAAAAAAGTCTCAAGTGTTCCTGTCACAGAGAAGTAGTTTACTTAGAGGCAGGTGTCACCCTACCCAAATTCCACCTCAGGAAGAAGCTATGTCCAGCAGAGAGGACAAAGGGAAAGACAGAGATAATATCTAGAAACAGAGTAGTGTGGAGCTTTTCAATTTCATATTGATCCTAAAGAGACATGCCTAAGAAGGAAATTGCATACATGATATTATGTTAATGCTTCAATTTCTATAACTGTCATCAGTGTGTATGATGACTTATATCTGTACTGGGTTCTGCGTTTTTCCCACGTCCAACTACAGAGCCTGTTATAGCAGGAAGATATGCAAATAAGTCTTCTTTGTGCTCATAAAACTAGGCATGCCCTGTCACTGCAGGTCAGGCAGAGGAGACCAGACCTGGATTCCCAAATCCTTCCAGTCAGGGTTCAGCGCTAAATACAGGCCACTCACCATGGACTTAGGGCTTATACTGGTTTTCTCTGTCCTTATTTTAAAAGGTAATTCATAAAGATGAGATACTCTGTGCTGTTTTGACATGAGAAAGAGAAAAAAATATCTTTTGTGTCCGTTTTCTAACCCGAATTTTTTGTGTTTACAGGTGTCCAGTGTGATGTGCAGTTGCTGGAGTCTGGGGGAGGCTTAGTGCAGCCTGGAAAGTCCCTGAAACTCTCCTGTGCAGCCTCTGGATTCACCTTTAGTAGTTACCCAATGAACTGGGTCCGCCAGTCTCCTGGGAAGGGGCTGGAGTGGGTTGCATACATTAGTAGTGGTGGTGGTAGCACCTACTATACCGACGCTGTGAAGGGCCGGTTCACAATCTCCAGAGACAATGCCAAGAACACTCTGTACCTGGAAATGAGCAGTCTGAGGTCTGCAGACACAGCCATGTACTACTGTGCAAGAGACACAGTGAGTGAATGTTACTGTGCGCCCAGACAAAAGCACACTGTGGGGAACACTGGACCAGCAGGGGGCGCTGAGAGCACTTAGAGATCTGGGGCACAGAAGAGCCTGCTCAGAAAAGCATGAAGGACTGGATTTCTGTGTCTCACTGCCTCTCCATATCACACTTAGGGATTTTCTCTACAGGTATTTTGTGTAGTAATCCTTGAATGTCCAAATATTTAGTTTTTCAATTTCTTTTTTCTGTTTGGTTGTTTGTGTTTGCTTATTACAGTGTTTCTACTTGTTTACTTTTAAGGCTTTTTGTCTACCTGTCTCTCTCAGTGTCTCACTCTTCTTCTTTTTCTCTCTCTATCACACTTTCTCTCAAACTACTTTCCGTTTGTGTGTCTGTGTGTGTGAGTGTGTGTTTGTGTGCTGACATATGATACTCAACAGACCCTGTCTTTACAGTCTGTGACACACACTGTTAGTCATGTGCAGTCTGCTCTCATTTATACATTTTTATTCAGGTGAATGATGTTGAACATAAGTAGTGAGATACCAGCATATTTTGTGGTTCAACTACACAGTAGTCTTGAAAAGGTCAAGGAGTCCAGACTCAGGAGTCACCAGCTGAGGGAGAAGTTTCCCTCTACTTCTCCTTGTCCTCTTTCTTCTGTTTTCTTTGTTTGGTTTGATTTATCCTCAATACCCCAACATTCGTGAGATCCATGCTCAGTAAATTAATCCTTCCAGAATCAGTTATAAGTGCTGGGCAGCAAGGAAAATAAATTTTAAGATTCCTAGTGTATATGGTAGTAGTGCAAAAATGCAATCTTCAAAAAATATTTTCTGTAGAATAATGTGGTGTTTTTAAAGACTGATCTAGGCTTGTAACTCTGCCGTAGAGTGCTTTATGATCATGTGAAATGCCTTAAGTTTAAGAACCAAACTCTCCTAAAAATAGGAATTGAGCACTTAGACAAATATCATTTCTCACTTTCAGAGACTTAAATGAGCCACTCTCATGACTGGAAAAGGAATGGACATCCCCAGGATAGAAAGCGCAGTTGTGAATTTGTGGAGAAGAAACAAGTATACAGGAGTTTTCTCTTGACTTCCATAGCATGCAGTTCATCCAAGGTCTGTAACCTCCATGACACAGTTCTAAATAGTTATAGACCATGAATCCAATGCACGGTAAGGACGATGTTTGGATGGCTTGAAAACCTAACTGTTTAGTCTGTGTGTGCATTGTGTATGATTTGCACGTATTTCTGAAGTCTAGAGTATAGATTGAGTGTGTTTATTGGTTCATTTCTATCTTATTTTTGAGACATGATCTCACAGTAAACCTGGAGCACAAATGTACAGAGAGATTCTTGGGATGGCAAGTTTTAGAGAACCTCCAGTCACAACCCCCTCCAGTGCTGGGAATATAGGAAAAACCATCACACCCAGCTTCTAAGCTAAGTATTGTGAATCAAGCTAAGATACTAATACTGAATGGCAGGCATCTTACCACTGAGCAAACTCTTGAGCCATGGATATTATCACTATACATTGATGAAAGAATTGTAATATATAAGAGAAATACATGTATTGTAAAATAATTTTTAAAAGAGAAAATGTATTGCCAATTATGGACTTTTAAACCATTAACTATCTACATAAAAATGAATGATTTGAGTCCAAACCCTTATATGTCCTTATAAATAACCCTTAATACTGATCATTATGGAAATCTGCAAACAGTAAAATGGGAAGGGTCTGCAAAAGAAGAGAGAATTTAAATAATTATCAGAATAAATTGTATTGAAAGTTTTTCAAGGTAATGAATTCTTTAATTAACGACAACAGTGCATTTGACGGTAGGGTATGGTGAAATATAGTCTTAATGCATTCAACAGAGAAACAGAAGCAAGAAAATCTCTCATAGCTTGGTCTATATAGAAAGTCCCTGTCACCTAGATGACCCTGTGAAAAAAAGAAAAAAGTCATTCCTTCTACCAGTGAATGTGAGAGTGTTTCTGAATGTATCTGGAAGTAGGAATCTCATTCTCTTTGTGTGTCTCTGTCTGTGTATGTTGGAATGTGTGGCTGAGGTTGCAGAGAGTTCAAAATGACTGATGAAACACTTAAGAATAAGGACCCACCTCTCAAATATGTGACTTTAACATAAACTCATTCCCTTTGAAATGACTTTTGCTTAGTGATTTCCTTTACCATCAACTCATTCCTTTTGCGAATGACTTTTGCTTAGTGAATTCCTTCTATACAGATTCACAGAAACACGAACCCAGAAATCAAGAGACTACAGAATACAGATGCAAACTATCCCTGTAGTAGACAATGTCAAATATATGTGAATAATAAGTTGACCTATACCAAGCTCCCAAATGTAGTATCAGAAATGTGCCTTTATTTCTCTGATATTCCTTCCCTGATTTTTGTAACCACAATGAGAATATCAGACAAACCCAAGATGAGACATACTAAACATGTCTGAAAAATATTCTTTTAACTTACTGAACATCATGAATAAGGAGAACCGAGCACTCATAGTGTTTGTGCCCCATCAGTATTTGCAGGGATGACTGTCTCACCTATGTTAAGTTCTAGCTCCCCCACTGCCACTCACAGTAAATATATTGTGCACAACAAGTTGAGAAACATAAAATGTGGGATTCTAGTAAAAGAAGTGGTGGATGCTCTTCGGGATCTATCAGGACAGATTGGTTACAGCTCCTCATTTCCCTTTCCTGTTGGTCTACATTACTAAGGCAGGGGACAATGCCATGCAGTCTCTTGTCCTCTGTGGTCATCCTCACCACAAGGAAAGCAGTTCCCACTGTTCAACTATATCCTGCTTCCATGTCTTGTCATCACATAGATTTCTCTGTCTTTTTATTACTTCAGATCACATAACCCTCAAGCCTTGCTGCATGCTGCTTCTTTTCATGAGGTATTACGAACTTCAGGCTTTCTCATCCATCGACATTATGACAATCATAAAACCTGGGTTCTTATGTGCTGCAACCTGAGGACAGAGAAAAAGAAATATAAAAATACAATGATAAAAAAGGACTGACGTAAATAGAGATGTTCAAGGAAAAGTGCCCAGGTATGGTGTCCCTAATTAGAAAGGTAAATAGTCTGAACCTAATAAGATTATATCCAATTCAGTCACTTGTGTTTTTTCCCAATGAACACATAAGATCATGCATACTAAATGTTAGTAATCACAAGTTATCTTCTAGTTGAGGAATAAAAATAAGATGCCTCTACTGACACCAAAAGAATATATTCTAAGTTTTTATAAGTATGATTTCTGATCACTATGAGCCCCAATTCCATTCAAAATCCAACTTATGAATTTTCAGAGACATTTAAATACTTCGAGTATGTGATACCCCATGCTGCCATCATTGATTGAATGTGGACTCACCCTAAACATTTTCCATCTTTTGCCTGGTAGATCTGCAAATTGTGATTCAAAGTATTTCCTGTTTGTCAGTATTTGGAAACTTAGCCAGAACAGGAAAATGTTCCTGAGTATCCATTTCTATTTCTACTAAGAAGCAGAAAACAAACGTCAGTCATCTGAAGGGGAAATGGAAACCTCCTGTGCTTCCTTTTACACTCTCAGGAACCTCTCCCATTTCAAAGAAACCTCAGGATTAGGAAGAAAGCCAAGGCCTAGCTGAGAAGCCTAGAGCCTCCAACAGAGCATGGCTCTCCTGGTGCTGCTCCTATGCCTCATAAACTTTCTAACCTGTAAGTGTTTCAGGGTTTAAGGAGAGAGACTGAGGAACACCATGTATGGAATATATGACTAATGATGATGATGCTTGTCCCAGGTGACCTGTCCCAGGTACAGGTACAGATGAAGGAGTCAGGACCTGACTTGGTTCAGCCATCACAGACCAGACCCTGTCTCTCACCTGCATTGTCTCTGTGCTCTCATTAGCCAACTGTCATATACACAGGGTCCACCAGCCTCCAGGATAGGGTCTGGAGTTAATGGGAATAATATGGTATAATGAATACACTGATTATAATTCAGTTCTCAAATCCTAAGTCACCATCATCAGGGACACCTCCAATAACCAAGTTTCCTTAAAACTGAACAGTCTGCAAATTGGAGACACAGCCAGATATTACTCTACCAGAGAGAGGGTAATGAAACTCCAGTGTGAACCTGCACAAAACCTTACTACAGATATTCAGAGCCAGCAGGTGGTACAAAGGGTCAACTGAGACTTCCTGGCACTAACACAAGACATTTCAGTGTGCTGAAACACAGCAGATGCACAAGTCCATGAAGAGTTGGCTTCTCTGTTCCTTGGCTTGCTCTGTGCTTCAAAGTTGTGTTTCTCATTGCACTCTTCTAGAATTAGTCAGTACTAATCTATAAAGCATCTGAATATTTTCAAAGTCCTGTTTTCCACTGCAATGTTTATTTTTCTATGAAATTTACAATCTCAGCTGAACAAGATAGATAGCATCACACAGGACAGTCCTACTGGGCAACGGGCACCAGGTTGAATCTTGAAGAGTCTCAAGGATCATTTGGAGCAGGTAGGGTCCTCTGATCCACAGCAGAGCTTCATTTTATTCTCCAGTTAGAACAGAATTTAGGATTTTGGTAAGAGCCAACAGAGCATGCTGTAATACCCTGGTAGGACGTATAAACCATTAACCTTGATTTCCTCCACTCTCTATATCATCCTCACATAAAACATGAACATCAATTTCATCATTGACCCTGGCTATGCTCTGGTACTCAAACCATAGAAACAATGCTGCTAGATTCAGCAGCTGAGGTTCAGGAGCCTACAAGATGTTCCTGGCTAACACACTCCTCAAGGTGTCCCTGAGCCTCAAGTCCATTTCTGGAAATGCTGTCAAATCACAATGTAGTTTCTATGTCTTAGGGTCTATTCTGATTTTGTCAGATTCCTGGTGTGTTATCAATGTGGTTTAAGGCCAAAATAAAGTACCCTATCCCTACCAAGGTATTTAAACACATTTTAAAAGCTTAGAGGATTTTAGTTTCATCATGTAGATGCATTTCTAGATGCATGGTTTCATCCACACAGTACTTACTTACACTGATTCACTTGCAAATAAGTTTTGAAGTCTCTGCAGTGATATCTGAGTCACAGATTCTTGATCTAAATGTCAGATGTCCCAGCTTGTGGCTCCTGTAGGATT